AAATTTCTTAAAAAAATTACGTCGTGTTTAATTTGGAATGAAGAAAGTACATACGTATTTGATTAATTAGACGGGAGATGCATGTGTCCCTCCTTATGTTATAAAGGAGATGTACAATGTACACATATCTATTAAATTTCTTGTTCATGGCCGTTTTTAATAATTCGACGATATACAAAGTATAAAAGATTCAAATAGATAAACAATGACTTTATGTCTTTATAGAACCAAAGACAAAATGATGAATAACTAAAATGGAAATCATTCAAAGTAAGCAATAGGATATATAAAGCTAAGCTAAGTAGAGAAGAAGAAGATAGTGCAAGGACTAGTTGTTGTCCTTGAGTTGTGACAAGTCCTATTATTGGAAACACATACAAATCAAATTATGTGCAAAGAAAATTGACTTAAAAAGTCCAAATCCTTTGAATCCACCACATTTTCTTAATTTTCCTTGTGTAAAGAGGAAAGCCATAACCCATATCCATGTGCTAAAGCAATGCTTTGTCGATTTAGTTGCTAAAGAAACTTTAAGTGGCCATTTATCATAATTTAGCATTTGTTATGATGAAGAAAAGAGGGGTATAAATGAGTGGTCTCTAATTTAACTATATACATAAGCTTAGTATTTGTTTAATTATGACATAGGCTCCACTATAAACCTCCAATCATCATAATCAATTGTGCTGATGCGAGTAGCTAGTATTTAATGTAATTTTTTTCTGATATACGTTAATCAAAATATAATTAATATTTTCGCCATTCTTTTATTACTAAAACAATTACATATTACATAGTACAATTTTCTACGTAACTGTTTGATTTATTTTGTTACTCTTGATTAGGTTGTGTTTTAATAAAAACTAGATTAGTGTCCGTGCGATTGCACGGTAGTAATAATCTTTTTTTACATAATTAATTTGTCATATATTATAAAAATGAGGCAAGTCATGTGGAATAAACAAATGCAATGTACTTCCAAAAAATAAGCTAAGTAGAATAATTTTTTTTTTTAAAAAAAAACTTAAAACTGACATCATATATTGTATTAACGGGAAATTTTTAATGATAGCTTGACATATGTCTAAAATAATCGATGTAAGCATGACTTGTTTTAATAATAATTAATAGTTTTTTGAAGAAAAAAATAATGTTATAAGTTGGTACATTTATTACAAAAATATTTAACAGACAACTAACTCAATTTTTAATATTTCACAAGATTTCAAATCAACACTACAAATAGAAATGTTTTTTTTTTCCATTGAACCCCATTATTATACAACTATATAATGGTAATTTAAATGTTAATATTGTATTTTACTTTGGCTTTGTCCATACTTCAACCTTATAAATTATTGCTTATTCTCCCTTAATTAAAAAATCTCAAGAATCTTGTGTAACTATTTTAAGCAAACAAAACACGAAATAACAAGAAATATTATAATAAAGATAATATATAAAATTAGAAATAATATATTATTATAATAGTTGCATTATACAAATATTCCAAAATAAAAGTTTTTTGCTAAAAAAGGAGAGGGAATTTTGGAGGGAAAAAATAGCACCAGAAAGTGACACGTGTCATTCCTGATGTCTGTTTTAGTATTTGTTATTATTATTGATTATGAAAAAGTATATATTTTGCAAATACATATACTAAGACAAATTCCTTAGTCTTTATTTAATTATATTCAAAGTGTTAAAATTTGACCACCATAAAGAAATGCTGCATAATAAAGGGGACATATTTATTAATCTAGAAAAGAATAAATACTAACTCAAATCATACTTGGTATATGAATTCAAGTTTAGATTAAAAAAGTTAAGCTATAATAATAATATAGTGAAATTAATTTTTTACAACTTGCTTAGAAAGACTATTACTCAACACCTTAAGGGCCAATGGCATGTGGTCTACTAGTTGGACGTACGATTAGGACGTCTGATTTCTTGGATCACAAATTTGGTGCGCATATTATAAACGTTTGGCCTTAATTTAATGTTGAGAAAATACCCTTTTCATCTAGAAAACACTGCTTTCATTATCAAATAATATGAATTAACTCCTAACTAAGAAAAACATCATCTATCTTTTCATTTGCATGGTTGATATATGTGCTTGATCACCTTTGCTTCGTCTTCTACAGTCACAATCAACTACATAGTTAGATTACATATGAAACACAAAATAATTCCTATGCTTTTTTTGATTAAAGTCGGACCATAAATACTTATAGAAAAATAGGAAACAAAGATATTAGAAAGAAAGTTAAGAATAGCGACATTAAGGATAAAATAAGATATAATCGATTGCATTGTTTTGATATGTCATGCAGATTTTGGAAAAAGTAATGATAAGGAAAGTAAAGAGTTGGGATCAAAGAGGTCTCAAAAGAAGCCGAGGAACACCAAATATGACTTCGATGGAAAGAGTTAAGAAAGGCATGAAGAAGTTAGGTTTGCACGAACATATAACATTGGTTAGAATGAAAGGTGAAGATCACGGTTAGTGAGTATAGCCGTACAGGACTACAGGAGATGAAATCTTAGTTTATGTAACCGACCTTATCTTTAGGATAAACTCTTGATTGATGGGAAACGCATCAAAATTATATTATTCAAATTCAAATAATTCAAAGAAAGTGAAACAATTACTACTTGCACCAAAAAATATCTGGCAAAAAAGAAAGAGATTTGGTATAAAGGGAAGAGAATATATGGATTCAGGTGCTCCAAATTATAGTACTTTAGACATAATATGCTGTGATGATATCAACATGATTCCATGGAAATCCACTCTGGAAAAATAACACATAGAGTTGGCCATAACATTAGCACCCAAAGCATTCCACCCAAACTGAAGGGAAAAAATATGCAAGTCAGATGTCACCAATAATTACACTAAAACCTAAGTCAAATGTCGACTTGTTTACATAGACTATATTAAAGTCTTAAGAGTGGTACTCAAGACTGGAAATTGAAAACCCGTTATGTAGGCTCCCTACTCCACCAAATTAAACTATCTTAAGCTCTTATTAACTACTAGTACTGCTTTATTGGTTAGTGCATCTTTATGATATAGAGCATTCAATATATTCATTTGTAATTAAAAATTCCCACAACAATTAAAGTAAAATATTTTTTATTTATTTATGTATGAATCTAGCTTCTTTATTGGTTTAGGGAATAAAATTTTCATGTTTGAGCTTTTGGGGAGCATAACAAAATAGCTTTATGTTTCCATTGATTCGATCAGTCTTTTTGCAAATTGCATGCTTAATTAGAGAAATACAAGCTGATTAGAGAATATTCTGTCCCCTAATTACCACTAATTTAGTTTTTTATGCACAAAAGTATTAGGTAAGGGTTATAATGCTCTTATATCAATTGTCATTTTCTGTTGTCCTTTGTTTATTAAACAAAACTAAAACTACTTTGTGTGTGTCAATGTTGGGGTTAGTGGGATCTAAGATTGGGTTTATCATTTAATACATTTTCAATCTTAAAAATCACTACTTTCAATCTTAAACATCACTACTTTCAATCATTAACTTAAAGCATTTGTAATTCTAAAATCAAATTTGATACTCACTCTGTCATAAAATAACATGCAGTGCACTGATGCAACATTTCTATGGTTCATCTTAAAATAATACTTTGTAGTACTATATGTAGCTCACTTATACACTATAAAATTAATTATAAGGTGGGAGATTTAAAAATGAAAATAGACAAAGAGTGATGATTTATAATGAACACTTTTGATAATTTTCTTTTATAATGATACCAAATCAAATTGCCATATTCTTTAGGGATGGAGGTATTAGAGTAGGGATTAACTAAATGATTCAATCTCCGGGATTGGATTATCATTAGGGGTCATTCAAGTTTCAATAATTTAATAAGGGATATTTCTAAATTAAAAACACATGAAATTTCATCGATCTTGGAGTGTGGACAACATTCACAACAAGATTCATCACAACTTCATTCCTACCTAACCCCTCAAGATTCTAGCTTCATACATACATCATACCCCTTAGAATCAAACTCAAGTTGCAACTGATCAGAAAAGTGTTTTATATGACAAATTGTTCTAAACAAAGTGGTGCCTACTGCCTAGCAATAAAAGCACAAAAAAAAATAAATAAATAATAAAACAAGTTATTTTTAAAATTGGACGTATTACCATTTCTTTAAGTGCCCATCTATAATGCAACAAGAATATTCTTTTAGATTCAAAACCTTATAAATTATTATGCCTCTATCAAAACCACTGGACTAGTGGAGCTACTACATCCAACAATTTTTATACACTATTATAAATCTTCTAAGTATGCGAGTCCTTCCACATTTTATGATCTTATTTAGATCGGATATAAGGCAAGGGTGATAACAAGCCGAGCCGAGTTAAATTATGCATTGTGCAAGTTTTTAAACTTCGTATTAATTACTAGTATTGTTAAACTTGAATGGTTAAAAATGCATTGAGATTGTTAGCAATCTTTGGAATGATGCTCGTATATGCTCGGCTCATTGAAATATCGAGCCCGACTAAGCTCAGTAACCATAAAGCCATAATTTGATCACAAAGTGACCGAAGATGAAGAGTGGACTATACCATAAAGGTGGATCAAGACCAGAAAGCATCTAGAAACTTGGCATATAATCAACCACTTCAGCTCAGTTTCTTAAACAATTACATTTATAACACAAAATCAGTAGATATTTCAGCTATAATTTCGAATCGAGGGCTTGAGCCAAACCTCCTATTTCAAGAAAACCATGTTTAAAATCCAAAACTCACAATAAGGGTGATACCCATCTACATTGCACGTCTCGATGAGTTCTATAAGTAATCCACTTAATAAGCTACATAGATGGCCAAATTAGTGTATAACTATTATTTGCGGAGAGTAATCAGAAAAGTAAAAAAGAGCTCTAACCGGCCATAGATTGACACAGGACAACCTAGTCCTTCACAGTTTTCAAGTCACTGGGGTGTTTTTTTCCTAGTGACTGATCAAAATTAGTTTGCTCTGTAACAGTCCAAACTCTAAAGCAAAATCATTATCCACAACTTTAGGATCTAAACAGTCGGCTAATGAAGCACAAATCTGAAATGAACAGCATTGATTCACAGAACTGGCAATTAATAAACAGAGGAAAGCAATATGAAATAGCTTATAGAAACCTAGAATTCTCATAACCTTCAAACAGTAAAATACTACGCTCAACAAAATTCTCATACAAACGAAACATATTAATTGGCTGAATAACGTCTCAGCTGTAAGACAGACACCAAAGTAAGATTTTAGAGACCTAACCCTACAGTGCGACCATCTCTTCGTCGGAGCCCAGCAGTGTATTGCTTCTCTAGATCCAGCTGAAGCTGCTCTCTCTGCTTCTCTGCATCTTGACTGCTCAGAGGTTCCGTGTCCGCCTTCACTTCGCCTTTCACACCCTACAATTGGCCATATGTACCAAGGCAACCTCAGACTCTAAAACTGTGTTAGTGAAGAATACTAATTGAGAAAACATCATGCTTGAGTATGTACAATATACTAACTTACTATTCCAAGATTATCTGTCCATTAAATTATTTTATAACCAAAATGTAGCCTGGTGCGAGAATATTGCCAAAAGGAGAATTACCATGAGTTTGTTGAACTTCTCTTGTCGTTCACGATCAGAAAAAAGAGATGTATCCCAGTGATGACTAGGCTGTATGCATCAAAAAGCATTCACCAAAACAATATATAAGCAGCAAAGAAGGTGAATTATATAAATAAACAGGATATATCATGACCCCTTACTATCAGGAAACTGGGATTGTGAACTGCTCAAGTACTCATCAGTAATTCAACATCCTCAATTGAACATGAGAGTGCCATCTCAAAAATTAAACAGATATGACAAGCCTTAGTGTGATTATGGTTGCCTATGCATAAACGAGAGAAGTTTCAGAGTAGGTGGATTTTTTTTAAGACCGCGGTACGACTTGAATAAATAACACAAATGATAATCAGACAACCAGAATTTGATCATAATCCAATTCCATCTTCCTGCTATCAAAAGTAGATAGGCGTATAACTAATCAACTGCCAGGATTAGATATCTTAACAAGCACCAAATTTACAAAAGCAGAAGCCAATCAATGAAAAAAAGAAATCTTGACAAAAAATAAAAGAAAAATTGAGAGGTACCTCTTCAGCAGTATGACTCTTTTTATTCCCCCATAGTAGCTTCTTCTTCTGATCAGCGGTCATGAACCCCGTACTTGTAAGGTTCTGATTAACTGCATTAAATAACACCATTTACAGCCAAATTCCCAAAAATACATAGCAGTATACGAGTGTTAAAAATAAAAAGGGAAATTCTCTTTAGTAACACCCAAGTTTCTTTTTTTCTCTTTGGTAAAAAGCCAAAAATTTCATTATCATTGGTAACATTGTATTATTGATTACCAAATATAATCACCATTTTAATAAAAAAAATTTAACCATGGTTATTTTTTAATAATTACAAAAAAAAAAAAAAAAAAAACCAACCCCCTCTCCCACCCATAGAATAAAAACTCGCCCGTTAAATCGCGATGCGGCCGAGATGTAACGGATTTGAAGCCTGCCGTTACGAGATTTACCATTTTGTAACGGAGTTTTAAAAAACCCTGCATTTTCGACCGATACGACCGTTACACGGCTGAAACGCCAGGGAAGGAAAAAAAAAATTGAATCTGTGAGTTGGTCGGAGTTTTGTGGCGGACTCCATTGATGCCAGCGTGTAGCAAGTCGTAGCAACCGCATGAATGCATGAGATAAATAGAGAGAGAATGAAGAAGAAAGTGAAAGGCTGAGGGGTGATGAGAACGAGGTAAATATGTGGTAAGTGGGACCGCTGTTATTAATCAAATAAAGGTGGAAAATTGTGTGATGGTTTTCACTTTGGTTATATTTTAATATTTTTTTGACTTTTTGACCACTCAACCTCTTTTTTACTTTTAATAATATTTTGATTTGAGAAAGTTGGAGCTGTTATGGACTATAATTACTAGCGACAGATATTAATTTTTTTTGATAAGTTCAATCTAAATCTATTGGATAAGAAAATATCTACTTTAAAATTTTAAGCAAATTATCTAAAAATATTTTTTCTATGATAGCTCTTAAAATAAAATTCTACCGCGATAACCGCAATTCGATCCGCAATGAACGCATCGTTTCCGTTATCGTTACACCGCAACCGTTCCCGCTATCGCGACCGATACCGCATTTTTATTCTATGCTCCCACCCACCAGCCCTCCCCTACCGGCGTCAAGCACCCCCCACCCCCGGTCGGCGCCGCCCAACCCCCGCCCCAGCCTCCCGTTATTCCTCGACCCGACGCCCCATCCCCTCCATTTCCCCCACCCAACGCCCCCACCCCCACCCCGACCCCAAACCACACCGAAAACCAGGCCCCCTCCTAGAATCGACCCCCATCCATTGTTCGTCGGCCCGGAAACCCTAAACCCCACCCAAAAAACAAACCTGTTTAGGTTTAAAAACCACCCAAAACCCAAACACCCTACCCGTTTTTTTCGAAAGGTTTGGGTTTTTATTGGTCTTGGGTGAGATTTAGGGTGTATGGGGCCGGCGAACATGGGAGGTGGGTCGATTCGAGGAGGGAGGGGGCTGGTTTTTGAGGTGGAGGTAGAGGGTCGCGGTGGGGGTGTTGGGTGGGGGAAATGGAGGGGATGGGGCGTCAGGTTGAGAGAATGAAGGGAGGGTGGGGCGGGGGAGTCCCCAGTGCCGGCCGGGGGTGGGGGGTGCTTGGCTCCGGCAGGGAGGGAGGCTGGTGGCTGGGTTGGGATTTTTTAAAAAATATTTTTGTAATTATTTAATTATTAAAAAAATTAAAACTAACCCAAAACCTCTAACTATAGTTAAAAATTACTCATTAATGTTATAAGTAACTTAATATAATATTATAATATTACCAATGATAATGAAAGTTTTGGCTTTTTACCAAAGAGAAAACAAAAGAAAGTTGGGTGTTACGAAAGAGAATTTCCCAAATAAAAAAAAATAAAAAAAATAAAAAACACTATATATATATTCTGGCATACATAACAGCCTACTTCCCTTGCCAGAAACAGTTCACTTACACTATAATCCACATATCATAAAAAAAGATGCAGTGTTTCATACATTAGAAATTAACAGTTAGAAAAGAAATAATCTGGTACAAAGGTATTAAATCATGGAAAAACCATGAGAGTAGGAACAGTTGCCAGCTATGTAAAACAACCTAATATGACTCATCCGTATTTTATAATTACCTTATTTTGCCAAATCAAATGCCAAGGTTCAAAGAAATGAATACGGATTATTAACAAATAAATGCCCCCATAAAATAGTCCAATCCAATGTTAATTACTACCTCTGTTTTTTTTAGTTGACACGTTTTGACTTTGTGCACTATTAACATAACCTACTTTGACTTCGTTTTGTGATTTAGTGTTGGATAAATACAGTCATGTGGGATCTTGTTAGATTCATCCTAATGTCTATTTTCCAAATATCAAAATTTCATAATTTTTGCTAATACGTAACTAAAGATATTTACATTTAAAAGTATGCGTTGGCAAATGTGCCTAAATGAAATGTGTCAACTTGTAAAAAACAGAGGAAGTATTATTTAAGTCTAAATCATCACAAAACTGCCTTAATATTACTTGGTAATTTGGTATAACTGTAAGTTATACAAATTGCTTCAAAGATATGCATTTACCTAATTGAGCAGCTTTAATGGCAGCAACTTTAGCAGCATCCACGCTTGTAGCAGACTCATCACCAGAAACAATGCCTTGCTCAGGTGATACTTTAGCCGCAAAATCCTCACTTTGCTTTGAACCTGATGATTGTCTTTCATCTGCTGCAATTTTAACGTTTTAAGAAACTTCAATGACAAGGACTAACAACCTAAGCTGAGGAAAAATATATAAGAGCTCACACCTTTCTTGTCATCACTGCCCAAGCTGAACTTAGTCCTTTTGGAAGCTTCACTCACAAAAGCAGATCTGTCTTCGGACCTTCCTCTAGCTCTAACATGCCTATCTTCAAGTCTGTCAAGCCCCTCGCTATTACTCTTCTCCTGGTTGACCTTTGAACCTTCTAAATCCTTCATATCACTAGTTTCCTTTTTTGAGCTGTGCCCCCTAGAACTCCTGTACTCCCTCTTCTCATCATGGTGATAATCTCTATCCCTAGAATGCCTATCACGGTCATCAAACCTATCTCCACGCCTCCCATCATATCTGGTCCTATCAGACCTACCTCTTGCATACCTGTCCACATCTCTGTAGCGGTCTCTAGTCCTATTATAGTCACTTTCTCGATCTCTATAGTCAGAATTAGTGCCTTCTCTTGACTCTCGTCCTGACCGAACAGATGCTTTTGCAAGACTTCTGTCGTCTTCATCTGCATGCTTCCCATACCTAGAGTAATCATCATGTCTATCACCTCTTGAAGAATGTCTATAAGAATCACTGCCACGGCCATGTTGGCTCCGGCTGGACCTTCCGTCATCAACTTTATCATTGTTCCTTCTCTCATTTTTGGCTCTTGAGCTGTGATCACGTTTTGGGCTCCCTGAAATTTTAAAATTGGTCACTGATTAAACTACACTACATACTCCAGCAGGTCAGCTATGAAAATAGACATGCAATGGTATAAAAGAGCAGGTATAGATACAAAAAGGCCACTGTAGAGAATAGAACACTCAGATGATCACATCAGAAAAGATGATAAAACCTATTAGGATAATACTTCTACATTTCAAGTCACCACATCAAGTTCATTACACCTACACAATTACAAGGTAAAAATGTGCATGTCCTCATCAAACGAGCAGTATGCACTTTTTAGGCAACATTTACCATGGGCAACACTTTGAAGTTCATAAAATAGGGCAGTGCACATCATAATCAAGAAAGGTGTCCCAGAATGATGAGAAAGGACCTACTACATTACACATAGCATATAAACTAAAGAGGGATAAACAAAGCCTCACAAATGGGTAAGAGTGTACGGCTGTCCACAACTAATTCTTACGTGCAACAATCAAGAAGCTTCCCTACAGAGTTGCACTCACTGTTCAAACACACTCAAGGGACAGCATTTAGAAAGTTCATTTACAAAAAGAGACAGTTTCAACATCATACACAAACTACATTATAACATACCGAGCACCACTTACAAGTTCGATTGTTCAATACACACTGTGCGTCAATGCAAAGAATAGAAAAGGTTTACAAGCATTGATTTATTGACCTTTCCAGTGTTTAAAAAAAAAAAATCCAATGAGATGGTAGGAATCAAAACTATTGGCACAAGCAAATGAACAAAGTGTATGCTTAGGCAAAAAAGATAGAAAAGGTTTACAAGCATTGATTTATTGACCTTTCCAGTGTTTCAAAAAAAAAAATCCAATGAGATGGTAGGAATCAAAACTATTGGCACAAGCAAATGAACAAAGTGTATGCTTAGGCAAAAAAGAGCATACAATTTTTTTTCGAAGTATTAGGTTTATAGACATTCATGTTATAAAAAATAAAACATACTATGTATGTTATAGAAGATACTATACTCCATAATACGCAAAGCTGGGAATAAGGATCAGATATCAATGCATAACCAAGTAGCAAACCTTCATTCCTTCATGTTGCAAGATTCTATGATATAGGAACTCGGTTGGAATAAAAGGAGCACTCTTTGGAAACATTAATAAATCATTAATTTGAGAAAGAGAGAGAGAGAGAGAGAGAGAATCTTATGAGAAAAGCTCAAAAGGTAATGACTGCAAAGCTTCCGAAGTACTATAAATAAAACAATCGTTGCCAGCCTTGTCGATACGGATGAAAGTATTCACTTGCTTTATGTTGGAACTTTTCATTCTTTGTTGACTATAAAGTATAAACCATGTTTCAAAGCAAAACAATGAAAATTAATTTGAATCAGTTTCCATTATACTTATTTGGGGGGGGGGGGGGGAGGGGAATTCAGAAGAGGCTATCAGACTAAGTCAATTAGTCTTAGAGCCTTGCACCTTAGCACTTCAGGTCACTTTTGTGATTGGCATGACCAAGCTAACTGAAATGGCAAGCTCATAGGGTATTTCTGAAAATAATAAAAGACTCATAAACTAGCTGAAAAACTCCTTCAAGCCAGTCCAGACATAACTCGAGTTTTGAGTGCTTCTCAACTAGCTTATCAGTAATAATCTAGAGCAAAAGCAACAGATGATATAGTAGGAGAAAGGTTGCAAACACAGCTATACTACATTACTCTTCCACACAAGATAAAACACCATTCAAGATCAACACTATTGAATGGCATATACTTCCTTTTTTTTGGTATGTCACAATCAATATAAATTTCACATACACCAATGCACAAGTTTGATCATAAAACTTGTAGAAGTGTTGCGTTTCCACAAGTGAATAGTAGTACAAAAGTCTATATGGTGGAACTTATTAAAAACAAAAATTGTAAGAAACAACCCAAAGGAACTATTTCTTTCTCTGAAGGGGCTTAATTGCATGTTATTGCATTATAATTTTATACAAGAAAAATCAACATGGATCAAGCAATACAGAAGCAAAAGAATATCAAACATGTCCATTCTATTCCTTCACTATCCTTGAAAGACTAATAGTGTTGAATGCATCAATGTTATCTAAGAAACAAGCATGACAAGAAATCATAGGTAAAAGGGTCAGGGAAAAAGAAATAGAGATAAGAACCAATTATTATGTATTCGTTATGTTGGGATCTCCCGCATGAATGCATGATAATTCCTTCATAGCTTTCAAACTACATGATCCCAGACAAGAGCAAATGATAAAGCAACTTTAAAAAACTAACCATCTTCACCAGAAGATCCAGAAACCGGGGAGTGACGCCTATATTTCCGATTGGCTGTGTCATTGGTAATCTTGCGAAATTCAGCCTTCATTTCATTACTTTCTTGGGTTGGCGAGGACGGGTTAGAATCCATAGTGGTGAGACAAATATAATTTTAGTCCTACATAGAATTGTGAAAACATAACAAGTCATCAGGCTATTCAATTAACCCATAGAACTAGACAAAGTAGTACCAAACTACCAAGGTAAGCAAAAAATTCTACTATAACAGTGAAATGCCCTCTACCTCTGATACAAGTACTACAGCCGAATCGAATGTAAATCAGTATGGGAAAAAAATGAATAATATATACATGTTGTATCAGTATTAGACCATAAGTCCAAGCAAATAAAAAAAATGCTGCTTAAACAAATTTCTCCAGTTCCATCTCTTAATAGCCTTAACTAACCATGGATGTCCATGAGTCAGAACAAATAGAGTACAGAAACCTATCATCCACCTTGTTTCAAATACGTGCATGAAGATTCTCCCCCGATCACCAGTTCACCACTAAATTTATCCATTGCTGAAAACAGAACGTAAATGTATGGAAAACTGATGTTGCTCTAATTATCAAACTCCAATCATCAAAAAACTATCACAAACCCTAAACCGTAAAACGAATAACCATAGTTTGACCTTTTCATCCCTAACCCAACATAACTTAAGAATACAAAATAATTTTACTATCCAGGTGCAATTCAAGAAAAGTACAGTTATCCTTCCACTCTCTATCATGCTACCACCCCACCCCTGGCCGAGCGCGCCCACCGCCCGGGATAAATTATTACATAATACTGTCAAATTAAGATTAGTCCTGCTAAACAAATTAAGGATTATACACCATACTATCAAAATACACAGCTTTGAGCACCCCAAAACCAAGGTAACCAGCATTTCATGAAGTACATCCAGAATTTCAAACAGCTTTTCACAGCAACAATTTCAAAATTAACTATAAAACACCAACATCGAATCAACAACAACGGAATTCAAGGGAAAATTACGAAATTTCAACTAATTGAAGAAACCAAAATGAAATATAATCATTTGAAACGATACAGAAAACAAAACACTAATCATTAAATAGTCAAAATCAAATTAATCTACATAAACCCTAAAATGCTGCAGCTTGCCATAAAATCATCACCAAAATAATAAAACTAAAAACCCTAGAATCCTAGATTCAACAAGTTGACGCTGCGAAAATCAAAATTCGAAGAAATGGAAGAAAACTTACAGCTATTGATGGTTTAAAAATGGCGTATTTTCTCTCTCTTTTTAATTTCCGTCTGATGTTTTTGATTCTTCCCCTTTTTTATTCTTCGAGTGTAAAAATTGCAGGTACGATGGGGGTTCGAAAATATCCACTTCGGATAAAAATACTCCAAACGTTTTCATAATGGCTCCACTCTCTATTTCTAGCCGTTTTTAAATATTTGCTCTATTTTCTAATTTGAAAAGTTTTTATAATATTTAATTCATTTCTCTCAACTAGTAGACCCAACATAAGCCATATTTTATTAATTTCGTATTCTCTCTCCTCCAATTTTCTCAACTACTTTTACTTTTTACAATTTTTTATTCTTTCACTCTACCCCACTACCTCCGTATTTATTACTTTCTCCTATAACTCCGCACATGGAGAAATGGAGCAAGTATTTAAAAACGAATGGAGTATCTTTTAAGTTTTTCAAACATTATTTTCACATTTGCAAATGAGTAAAACTATACAAGTTGTTTGGGGTCGTTTGTTATCGCTGTTGTTTTTTGTTATTTGGTTTTGTTTTTTTTGTCAAAAGTATATAACATATGTCATATAAATATAATGAATAAAAAAAGAATCAAACTTATTGAAGTTATGATAATTTTGAAAACCGACAACAAAAAAGTGGAAATACACTTAATGATGCCAAACAAGCGCTTAGTAATCGGCGGTTGGCTTTTGATTATTGGTTAGTTTGTCTGCCTTGTTTGACTAGTTGAAAGTATTTGTTGTATGAATTGGCTTTGAAAATTTGATTGTTTAAATCACCGATTTTCAAAAATGTTTGACAAAATTAAGTTAACCGTTTATTTGTGAAATAGTGGACTAATAAGCCAAAAGCCAATAAAAAAGCAATTCCTACAAATGTCATTGTAATAATAAATTTGATATGCTATTAGTAATTCTCAATAGGTGAAATCAAACCCAAAAAATGAAAATGTGATGCTTTGGGAGAAAGAAATGAGGTAGAGAACTAAAGGTGAGTTATGGCTTTGCCCACTTTTTAAGTTGGGTTTATGGGAGAAATTCTCAACCTATACTAGCTTTAGTCCTTAAGGACTCAACTAAGGACATAATAGTAATTACACAATTTATCAAATGAAAATGAAAATGAAAATGAGATGAAATGAAATAGAAGTGGGACCCCATTGAAGTCATATTGGTTGTGTTTGGTAACTAGCTCATTTGAGCAAAATTAGCTTATCAATTATTTGACCAACATTAGCTTATTGACTATTAAATAAGCTAATTTAAGGTGGTTGGTGGCCTGAAAAGCTTATTTGAAGAGCTTATTCCACTAAATAAGCTCTTTTTCAAAAAGGAGCTTTTTCAATTCTTATGGTGAAATGACACTTATACCCCAATTTAATTAAAAATCCTATATGAATTACCTACCCCACAATTAGCTTATTGGCCATTTCACATAATCAATCAGCTTTAAACAATCGGCTATTTACCAAACACTTTTCTACAATATGCTAATAAAATAAGTTATTCAAATAAGTTAATATAATCAGCTAGTTAAAATCAGCTAACACAATCAGCTTCAGCTTTTGCCCAAACATGGTCATTATTTTTGAATTTTTTTTTTTTTAAAAAAAAAACATAACAAAACAAAAAAAAAAAAAAACAAAACAAAACAAAGACAACCATAAATCGCTCAAGAGAAATAGTCGAAGGTGAAGTACTGGAGTTCTAGGTGTGCATTCGCAATTTGGGTCTCAATTCCTCCCTTGTTGTTCTATCAGTGTAGGTATTGAGGAATTGTCATCAGTCAAGTAAATACATAAGGTTGGTAAAATAATTGACACTGAAAATATCAAATTATCCTCCATTGGTATGTAAATACATATAGTTGGTATCTCCTCCATACCGTCTACACATCCAGTTTTTGTTCCTAGTGTATAATAATGTTGGTATACCATCGAAAAGGGGCTAAGCTTTGAGATACCATAGTGAAACCTGAATGTGTCATTGGTTCGGAACTAGTCACATGCCACTAACGGTTTCAAGTAATATACGTATGTAGTAGTGTAGTATTACTTAAGGGGGGAAATAACAAACACTAAACAAAATAATGCTCACTAGGAAAAAATACAACTCTCTAGCAACTCAAACAACCTTGAATCAAATTAAGTTACCACCCAAAGCAGTTTTATGTAATATATTTCAACCCATTGGAATCTAATACCAAACACGAGCTTGACTACCTTCATGAGGAGTATTCCTACCATTTTTTTTTTTAACGGTAAATTACAGGGAGGAGCCCTCACCCTATCACAGGAATGGGGTTGTGAAGAATCGAACCCCATCACTTGGGGGGAAGATAATGGAGGGACTAACTATCCCTCCATCCCCTCATTGCTCATGAGCATTACTACCATGGAACTATGGAAGTGCACATACAAATTGAAATGTGATGTTCTTTTTTGCATTTTATTCATTAAGGGGAAACAAATTTTCTTTTTTTTTTTTTTTTTTTTTTTGAAAAATTTGGGGAAATAAGGGGTCAAAATTTTCTCCAGCCACATGTTAATAATTTGGCGGAAATAAGACCATTTCTGACATTAAGTCCCCACGTCTGAAATGATTTTCTTACCTATATTCCCTTTATCTTTTTTCTTTATATAATTTAATATATTTTATTATTAGTTGAGTCCTTGAGGACTAAAGCTGATATAGGCTGAGAATTTCTCGACTTATGGAGTTATAAACTGCTATTATTTGGGTTGAATAATTGTAGGCTTTGTTTGGTTAATGAGATTTGACCAGAAAAGAAAGGAAGTGGGTTTTATTACATTTCCATGTTTGGTATGATAATTGATAAATGATATAAGAGTTGGTAAGAAAGGAAAGGAAGTGGAAGGAAGGAGTCTTTACAAAAATTTCACTTTCCTTTCCTTCCAAAATTGGAGGAATTTCTTCACTTCATTTATTTACATTTTACCAAATATCGGAAATAAAATCACTTTCCCTTCTCTTCTTTTAATCAATAATAACATAATACTAAAACAGACACCAGGAATGACACGTGTGACTTCCTGGTGCTGTATTTTCCCTCCAAAATTGTTTTTTGTTTTTTTTTTATAAATATACTTAATATATATACATCAAATCATTTGATTGTGATTCACTATCCTAATAAAAATATATATTTGTGATTCACATATTTTTCATATCTTTTATTATATATTATATATTATTATTATTATTATTATTATACTATTCAATCTATAACGTAATATATTAAAACAGACACTAGGAAGAAATCGACTCTAGAAATAACACGTGTCACAATTTGGTACTGTTTTTTCCTCTAATTTTTTTTTCCACGGTGACATCAACTACTTATTGTAAAATATACTAAAAATATTCACCAAATCATTCACTTACTTAAACAAAATATATATTTGTGATTCACATATTTTCCATAAAATGTTATTCTAACGTCTATTACTTTGTATATATATGGAGTATATATTATTTCTTAATCCTTAAGCAGTAATTTATTCCTTCAAATCTTCAATATATTATATGTGCAGTAATTTTGTAACAAAAAAAATAAAATTATACGTTTTAGAAATAATTGATTCATACTTGATTATTACTATTATTATTACTATTACTATTATTTCCTAAGACTTCTTTTGTTATTCATATATTCTCTATTTAGAAATTTCAAAATGTTTTAATTTCTTATTAGGAAACGACTTCCTAATAGCATAATATTTTTTTTTACAATATCAACCTTATTTGAATTATTTTTAATTTTTAGTTATTATGTATATCAAAAGCACGACAAATTAGATATGTTTCCACTATCCTAAATTGTATCAAATACACTATAGTAATTATTTATGTTACAATCCCATAATGTTTAATATACAATTTTAAAATACTTAATTATTTAGTTAATAAAAAGAAAAACGATATCAATTTATCATTAAAATTTTAAACTTATTTGTCTAATTATTTTGTCGTCATTATATGTTTCATTTCATTATATACATGTATAAAAAAAAATACTATGGTTATATATTTTGTCCACATGCATTATACAAATATTTTATTTTTGTTTTTTAAAAATTTTGTGTTGAATTATAAACAGTAGTGAAATTAATTATCGTGCATGGCACGAGACCTAATCTAGTTTCCATTACTAATATTGAACAAAAATTAGAGGTAGTTGTGGCAAATTAATAATGGTAAAATTACTAAGGGTTGAGTCGGGTGCAACTATGGACCTGTGGACCTGTGGTAGATATTTGGTAAGCGATATATGAGGAGTTGGGTAGGAAGGTATTAGGCTGGTATGACTTTGAATCCAATACACCATGACGTATACTCCGTATGACCTTTGTACCTATACCCGCCAAAGTAGTATCCATACTCTACAACTGCAAAACCCACATTTTTATACCCACCCATCATCCCTATCCCTAAATAGACCTGGCAGTTCTGACCCAGACCCGATGATCCGACCTGTGACCCGAAATTGACCCAAAAAATCGACCCGAAACTCGAAATCGATTTGATCCATACCCGAACCGAAAATGGAGTTGACCCGACACCCGATTGTACTCGACCCGAAATTGACCCAACCAAAAGTTGACTCGAACAGACCCAAAACCCGAAATGTCATGAACTAAAATTACCTTATAACTGAATTAAAAATGTCTGATGCCAAAAGTGACTGAAAATGTTCATGTCTAATTGTAGCCAAGATCATAAACTGAATTTGATAGATCGTATTATAGTAATAATAAAATATAAAATTATCGATTTGAGTTTGATCCACAAATGGAACAACCCGAACATGACTTGCCCAGAACTCGACTCGATGCCTAACCCGAGTCATACCCAAAACCCAAATTAACCAGACCCATACATGACCCGAATATTAGTTGACTCAAAATGACCCGACCCATACCTGACTTATATGACCCGTTTGCTAGGTCTACCCTAAATTTCCAAAGGCATAGATACAACAAGCCCGTATAATTTGGGCCAAATCAAACAAATCCATAGAGTGTAATTTGGGAAAAGCTCGTTTCGTTCAATTACATTACTCTCTCAGTCTTTCTCAAGGGTTTAAGCTTTGTTCATTTCTAGGGTTTATCACACTCTCTCTCAAACTTCGATCAAATTCTCTATATTTCTTCCCTAATCTTCTACAATTTTCTCAGTAAATCATCTTCGAAGCTGCGAATAATGTGGGCTCTTCGTCGAGCTTCTGCAAATTCTATAAGGTATTTTCTATCTCTTTCTCTCTGTAATATACGTCATTTTGTTTCTGATTTTTTGATTTGTTAGTTGCTGATTGCATTTGTTCACAGAACATTGGATGATTGATGCATGTGATTCACATTATAAAATAATGATTTTTGTTTGTTTTGAGTTAAATCAAATAATGTGTTATTTTGTTTTGAATTTTTACTGATTTATTGTGGTTTGGAATTGGGATTAAAGATTTTTGGTTTGTATAATATTTGTAATTTCTCACCTTTTTCCTCTAAAGATGGTGATTTTATATTGAGATGAGAAAATATGAGTATTAATTATTTGTGGTTTTATTTTGGGGCAATTTATGATATGAAATGACCCTGCTGTTATGATACTTATGAGGAAGAAAGGATTGCTTGAATTCGGTCAGTTATACAAAAGAAATAAAGTTCTGTTGTGTTTTTTTAAATACATTCTCCTCATTTCCCTATCTTTGTTTTGGGATGCATTATTGCATTCTTCAGGATTTGGGGATGGGTGGATAAATTGAATGTCAATATTAAGAATTGTAAGATGATATCTTTTACATGTCGGGTTTTGTTTTTTACAAGTAGAATTGGTTACTAGATTAAGCTCGAACTGTTGTAATGGTTTTAAGCTATATAGCTAAAAATGTAAAAATTTTAGGAGTGGCAAGTGTGCTTTTGGACTTGATTCCTTCAAATAGTGGTTGTTTCAACACCTTTGACTTTCATCTATTATATGTTGTCGACTCCTCATATTATCTATATGAAATGTGCCTTGGCTTTCGCTGTTTTAATGATTGGTAAAATTTGCTGTTATCATTGTGTATTCAGGGCTCAAGGATTAAATGTAGCAGCATTTCGAGCTTGTGCTGGACTTGGACAGTTCAGTGGCCATACAAAAGACAAGTCAAAGAACTGTGAGCATCGTGGTTTGATGCGTGATAAGTGGATAACATCTAATGCATGCCAGTTTACCGCACATTTTCCAAATAAGTTCTCAGCTGGGAGCCGGAGTCTTTCCTCAGAAGCTGGTGCTAAGAGTGGAGAGGAAGAGGATGACTTGGAAGAGGGATTTTCTGAGCTTGAAACACCTGATCCCTTGGAGGCTACTGGGGGAGGTGTTGAAGATAGTGACAGTTCATCTGATTCTGATTCTGAATCCGAATCTGAATTATCTAGTGTTGATGAGAATGCGGAAGAGACCCTGGAAGCTGAGCTGTTGAAAGATGCTGGGGAGATACCATCAACAAAGAAGTTGGGCCATTCGCCTCTGTTGAAACTAATTTTTGAAGAGTCTGGTCCATCTCTTTCTAAAGCTCTTGATAATTATGCTACTGAGGGCAAGGACTTAAATCGTGCTGAAGTTTATCATGCTCTTTTGAATCTAAGACGGCGTAAGATGTTTTCAAAGGCCTTGCAGGTGCTCATGCTTGCATCTTCTAATGTGTTTTGCTAATTATTTGCTGCATCTGCATTTACTCCTTTGTTTTTTTGACTTGTTGTTCAAATCCAATTCAAGTGCTTAGGCTATGTTCTCATCACCGAGAAAAAAATATTGAAGTTTAAATAAGCTCTAATATGTTCCAATTAACTTTAATTATTTTGGATAAGTTCCCATAAGGGCTGTTCAGTTCACATTACAACTAAGTTGCAAAGTTCAGAGAAATTTGTAGCAGTGTGAAAAGTTCAGATAAATCAAATTTGATTAAAGAGAAAGCACTCTTTGCTTCATAATATCCAGCTCAAAATGCCCCAATATTTGTTTTGGTATCAAGGCATTAGTCATCTCCTAAAAATGGGATGTGTTAGAAGTGGCTTCTTAGAATCTACTGTTCAAATTTGAGACGAGTAAGGTCATATGACTTTTCTGGTCATATTCATGGGTGTAGCAAATTTGTCAAGAATAAAGTTAGTCTTGTGCTCAAGAATTTATTGGATTGTTTTTTTTACACACTGTTCTTAGTAGGATATGGTTTACTGTAAAGTGTAAACTGTAAATCACATAGAAACTCCATTTGCTCTTCTAATATTCATCAAATTCATGAATGATTTACATATTTGCGCTGTTGTTTGTGGCAATGTGCTTATGATGGTATGATATTATTCTGAGATCATCCTCTTGTCATGTTCATTTGTTGTTTTCTTGAATGGTGCATCTTCAATTCTTCATAGCAACATCATGTCATTATATTATTATTTTTATTTTATTTATTTAAATTTTTTGTATTTATTTTTTATGTTTATTATACAACTAATGATTTATTAACAATAAAATTTGCATTTTTGGTAAAAAGAATATCCAATCACCTCAATGTTAAATTGTAGCTACATAGTGGCTGATTATTTGTGCCTTTTGTTTGTATCAAATTAGCAATAAATGTTTAGATGGGTGGCCGTGGCCTCTTCATCTAGATGCTGGTGCACTTTTTCAATCCTTGCAAATTAATAATCTTGTGATGGTGTTTTTTTTTTCAACCTCATTTGTCCAAACCTGAAGCAATTTTTTTATCAGTAATGATTATCAGTATAATTTTTGTATGTTAATGCTATTAAGTGTTGCCACAGTCACTTTTAGCTTACATCCATGGCAAAGTTGTGAACTTTGAAATTATGGCATAGGAATGAGATTACTCTTTGCTGTGGGGTGTTTTTTTTTTTTATTTTTATTTTTACTTTTATTTTTATTTTTATTTTTATTATTATTATTATTATTATTATTTTTATTTATTTTTTACACTTCTTTTTCACAAGGTAGAGCATTTTTGAATATTTTTTGTGATTACATTATACATTACAATTTCTGCAGTCTGCTGTATGGAAAACAAGTTGCTGTATTGGAAGCAAAATGCATTTGTTAGATATTTACAACTTTACTTTATATGCTTTGTTTGCTTGCTGGACTGAATTTTGTGTAGTCTACTGTAGGTTTGTCAAGGAAACAGTTTAATTTGGAGGGAAGTGGATTGTGTATTAGAAGCAACTTTAAAGCCTTTTTGTTTTGTTTTAGTTGTTCAAGATATGAATATCTATTTGGTGATATTTTTATTTGGCTTCTAGCCATAATTAATATTTCCTTTACGGACGGATCAGCCATTGGGACTAAGGCTTTGTTCTTGTTGTAGTCCATAATTTAGGAGTCTGTGACTCTGTGTGTAAGGAAGTCAATGGAAATGGTTACTTATATCGTTATATGCTTATGTCTTTTCCACATAAATACATAATTCTGGATATATGGACTTTATATCTGTATGATAATGTTAATATTGTGCTCATATTAATGCTGTTCTTACTCTTTTAAACATAATTGTTAGCTGTTGGAGTGGATAGATAAAAGAGAGGATTTTGAGTACACTGAGCGGGATTATGCATCTAGAGTGGATCTGATTGCCAAGGTGCGTGGTCTTCACAAGGCGGAGACTTTTATTGACACTATCCCTAAATCCCACAGACAAGAAGTGGTCTATAGAACTTTGCTCGCCAACTGTGTGTCCCTCACCAACGTGGCTAAATCTGAAGAGATATTTAATAAAATGAAGGACCTTGGCTTTCCAATTTCGCCCTTTACTTGCAACCAGTTGCTTGTTCTTTACAAGAGAACTGATAAGAAAAAAATTGCAGATGTACTTCTAATGATGGAGAAAGATGATATTAAGCCCTCTCTTTTTACTTACCAACTCTTGATAGACACAAAGGGCCTATCAAATGACATTATTGGTATGGAACAAATTGTTGAGACAATGCGAGCTGAAGGCATCACACCCAACTTCCGTATCCAAGCCACTCTTGCTCGTCATTATGCCTTTGGTGGACTCAAAGAAAAGGCGGAAGCAATTTTGCAGGAGATGGAAGGGGATGACTTAAACTCTAATCGCGGAGTCTGTCCCATTTTGCTCTCAATTTATGCAAATCTAGGCAAGGCTGATGATGTTGAAAGAGTGTGGAAAGTTTGTGAGCCAAAGCCCCGAGAAGGAGATTACCTGGCTGCTATTGAAGCTTTTGGGAAGCTGAAGAACGTCGAAAAAGCAGAAGCTGTGTACCAGAAGATGACCAAATCAACCAATAAGCTTTCTACTAGGCATTATTCTTGCATGCTGAAAGTATATGCAGAAAACAAAATGCTGGGCAAGGGAAAGCAGCTACTAAATCAGATGGGAAACAGTGGCTGCCAAATTGGGCCAGTTGCTTGGGATGCTCTTGTGAAGCTCTACGTGGATGCTGGGGAAGTGGAGAAAGCAGACTCTATATTGCAGAAAGCAACCTCACAGAATCAGCAGAAGAGGCCGTTGTTTAGTTCTTATATGTCTATCTTAGACCAGTATGCTAAAAGGGGTGATGTCCATAATGCTGAGAAAATTTTCCTTCGGATGAAGCAGGCTGGCTATATTTCCCGTGCGAGGCCATTCAGTGGACTGCTCCAAGCATACATAAATGCCAAGGTTCCAGCATATGGGTTTAGAGAGAGGATGAAGGCAGATAATATATTCCCAAATAGAACTCTTGCTGGACAGTTAGCCCAGGTTGATGCATTTAGAAAAAATGCCGTGTCTGATTTGCTCGATTGAAGATTTTGCTGAATGATCCATTGCATTCTTGCAGTAGAAACTGCAGATCTGCTTTTGTTGAATGCCTAAAGTTGGTAACTATTCCATCTCTGTTAGCTAAAATACAGCTCCTAATTGTAAGTTCTGTTGTTGTTAATGTTAGAATATTCTGCGTAGTCTTTAGACCACTGTAGAAATATGCTTTTTCTTTCAATAGCAAATCTGATATCATTTTTCTTTCAATTATTTCCCTTTTCCTTTTTTATGGAATATAAGGACATCACCCTTTGATACTGCCAATGTGAATATATTGCTTATGATTCATATGACAGCAAGGTACTAGTGATTGAATTATCTATTTGTTGTTCACTTTGTCTGGTACTCTGTAATAAATACTTCCGTTAGGCGGCCTTGTGCTCTTTTTATCCAGTTCCATCCTTTGAACTAATAATATATATAAATTCTATTTGAATAGTAATCAGTTGTTCCCTGGATGAATTATGTTTTAGACTTGCAACTGAATGAACTATTTTATTTCTTTTTTTTTTTTTTTCTCTGATTTTGCAAGTACGTGCTCTGCTACTAGGTTATCTTTGTGGGCATTTCGCTGAGCCTATGTCTTTTTTATCTATGGATTGCAGTGAACAGATTTCAGTGGTCACTGTTGCAAATGGTAACTTCGTTTTGAGCTGATTGAGCTACACTATTTGAATCCGTGTTCCGTGTGGTTTGTTCTTTTGCTGCTGAGATTGGTGTACGTGGTGATCAAAATTGGGCTGATTCTCGTTGGTGATATACTTGATCCTTAGGCCAAATGAACCTAATTTCAATTTAGACTAGGAAACGGGCTTGTTTGCCCAATCTTAACTTTGATCATACTTGTGGGTCAAATTTAAGCTAGAAGTACAATTTGTCTCTTGTGTGGTAGAGTTTTGCGTAGTGGCTAACTGGCTATTAACGGTTTGAGATAGTATTGGTAAATATATATACAGTTTGGCTCATGTCATAATATTGGTAATAGTTTCTTAAAATTAGCTCATGGTGCTCTTTATTTTATAATATTGCCCCTTTAATTTTGAAAATTTGATATATGGTTCAACTAGGTCAAAAGGTATGTAATGTAATGTTACCTCTATTAGTCTATTTCCTTCAAATGTTATTAGTTTGACTTTAACACTATACACACACCAACTTTGATCATACTGTATATTTTATCGATAGGAGATGGTACATTGTATATGATAAATGTTGGATTATTACCAATGCATATTTTCAATATTAGACCTTGTCCTTTGGAGTTGAATTGATGAACTTAAAAAATGAATTAAGCTTAACTGAATTGAATTGAACCAAACCGAAAATAAGTTCAAAAGAACAAGTTTTAGAATTGAACCAAACTAAAAATAAGTTCAAAAGAATAAATCTTAGAATTGTACTAAACTGAAAATAAGTCCAAAATTACCGCGGATTCTTAATCCTTTTAAATACAACCAATATAAATAAATAAATAAAAAGATCGTGAGATCATTTGGCAGAAATGAACCATATGCTTATATTGAGGCTACATTCGTTTTTTTTGTTCAACGGCTACATACAGATGAAGTCATGAACAATATTGCTGTATGAAATTTGTTATAAGTGAAACTTATAAAAAAGTTAAAATCTTAATAATTTACATATAGACAGTACAAATCTAACAAGATTTCATTTGCTATTATTTTTCTTTTATATGAAGTATATATAATACAATTATATATAAATTACACTCAAATCTATTTAATTTAACGACATAAATAGTAAATGATGAGTTAATTCGTAGAACAGAAGTATGTATTTTAAGTCAGTAAGAAAGTGCACTAATATTCTAAAGAATAACTATTACAGAGTATATAATGAAAAATTTAATGGTTACTCGTAGATGGTCGAGAGCATATATGGAGTCCTACTTAGCTTTGTGACCAAAGACATAATCAATTCATCAAACAATTAGGTGGGATAAATCTGTCATGCGAGATGGAGAAGAGTCACTTGGTTGTGTATACTCTATAATCTTCATCTTTCCTTAAATTTCTCCAGTTTTTGTTTAGATGCATGTCTGAATTTACCAACAAGAGTTGGCTTGTTGGAAGATTCACCCACCATAAACCAGTGTGCGACCCGAGTCGAATCTAGATGTGCTCCGGTGAACTAAGTGGACATCCTAAAAAAAATGTCTGAATATAAGAAGGTTTAAAAGACCCTATATTCTTGGTTTGTACAAAATCCTACATATCATGGCCACATTCATCATGAATTTAGTCACTTTATGTGGCAAAATTCAAATCTTTCTTATATATTCCAACTATATAAACAAAAAGTCTTAAACATCTTTATTACATTTTGGATTACCCTTACTAATTTTGAATTAACATGATACTTGTATGATGAATTATTGGGCAAAGAATACTTTTGGATTTAATGTACAAATTAAGAGTTACTAGTAGTATGAAATGAGATTCTTTAAAAGTTTATACTTTATAGGAATAGTCCAATAGATTATTACTACGGAGTACTATGAAATAAAAAAAAAATTAACACATTAGCATAACAGCATAAGGATTAATTTGTTTAATCACAAAGATAAAGTTAGTTTAATTTAATGAATTAGTTTGTATAAACTCTTTCCCGCAAAGTATTCTTACTTTGACGGACATAGATTCGCAATAATAATTCCCTTATCTTTGTTTCAAGAAAATAATAATTTAATGACATAAATATTGTGATTTGTGAAACAACATTATATTACAAATTAAATCAATGAAAATCAACATACAAATAGTAAAAATCATAAATGTTAAAATTGCGAGAACAAGATAGCAGTTTATTGAGAAGATTGAATTTAGACCCATTATTCAGTTGCATGCATCGTCGTTCATCGAGCATGTCTTCACGTGCGTTTTGGCCATAGAGAAGAATAGGACTAAATAGACATATTGCAAAATTTACGATAACCCATTTGCTGTGACCCAATATTATTGGTGTTAAAAATTAATACAATCTGATTAGACTTGATGTATAAACGCAATAATTTAACACGTTTTAAATCCAAATTAAACTCGACCTGACTGAACCAAAATAAGAAACGAAAACACTTGTTGTGTCAAAAAATGTTATTACATGGTACTCCATTATTAGTTATATCTATATTGCTACTTTACTAGTATAGAATATTAACTCATACACACAATTTTGTTAATGTATTATGTTTCTAATTTTCCTATAATGGTTTTATTAAGCTTAGAATTTAGAAAAGATATTATCAACTACTCCACTACCTTGTCTACCTAAACTCAAACTTAAAATTTTTACTAATACGAGTCAATTCATACTTGAACTAGCATACGCTGCATATCTTATACTAGTAGTTTCATACGAAGTACTTGATTATTTTCTTATTTTGTTTTGGTTGGCCATTTGTCATCTAAGAAGCTTCTTCTTGTTTATTAGCAGGGTGTTTAATATGAAAATTTGAGTTCTAATTGGTTAAAATCTTTCTAAAAAAAAAACTTTGTGTTCATACTAGGCTACTAGCTGTTGATGACGGCAAGTCGGTCAAAGTTGTCCAATTCAAAGCAAGAAGTCAAAACCAAAAAATTGGAGTATTGACAAATCCCATTAATTTACAAACCTGCCAATTCATGTAGAAACTCCAATTTATCTCCTTGATATTGATAAATAAATGAAATTTTCTTAAAAAAAAATAAACAAATGACAAAATTGTAAATAGATTAACATAGTATTTTTGTAAATAAGTCGGCCAACAACTATGAAACCCATATTTAATGAAAAATATTAATTTATTTATAATTTTCCCACCTAATAAACTTACAAATGTGTATGTATTTGTTTATCGAGTAGATAAACTTGTATTTCCTCTCAATCCAAATAAACTTTCTTACACCAATCGGCCAAAGTTAAGCAAAAATTTCTATAAAACAGACGTATTATGTACGTATTTTTCACTCCATATAAAAAATAATTGGTAAGAATAATAGAAGAACCTTTTATATGATTTGACGTGATTATGGATGTTCGACAAGGAGCCATGGAGGGCAAATGTATTAAATATCATTGGTGGTCTAGATGTACCTCATGAGTCATGAATCATACCCTTAACTTTTAGAATCTATAAATGGTTAAATACCTACAAGATTCAAATTGAACAAAAACTAAGGAATCAAACCAAATCAATTTTGCCCAACAAATTTTCTCTCTCTTAATAATTTTTCCCCCCTAAAAATGACAACTTCAAAACAATAAAAAAACATCATAAACATTTCAATAATCCTTTTCTTTCACCCCCAAAATCTCTCCCTCTCATTCAAGGTACCCTATCTTTCAATCCTCTTTCACTTCCTTCTCACCATTTTTACTCCATTGGAGCCCATTTCCAAGCTTTTTGGACCTCCAAAAATGGCGGGAATATCTCAATTTCTCATCTTTCTAAATCCAAAACATCAATTTGGTCTACAATTCCTGGAAAATCCTTTGTTTCTGCTGCAATGGCTGAAACAGAGGTTGAAGAAAGCAGGGGATCATTCGCGATAAGCGATAGCAAAATCAATTTAGTTTGTAAACACCAGTATATTGAAGAGGTTAAAGAGATCAATTTTGATTCAGATGGAGATTTAGAGGTTAATGATCAAGATTTTTCATCTGGGTTTATCGGATTTGATCTTAAACAAGATTTAAAAGGGGTGAAATCCCCTGTTTTACTAATAACAGGGAGGGTTTATAACAAGAACAAGAAAATTAAAATTAGAAAAATTTCTTGTTATGCTAAATATTGGGCTATCTTTTATCAGAAAAATGACCATCAAATTGGGTTCCAAGTGAACATTGATAAACCAAATTATGAGGTTACTAATCTGAGATCAAAGGGTGTTAACAAGAAATCGGGTCGAATTCGGAGGCGAAAATTCGGGTTAAGTTGGTTACCATTAAGGCCAGCAGTGATATCAGTTGAAGATGATGAAAGACAGAAGAAGTGGTTAGCAAAATCAATTGAGTTTAACAGGATTTGTATGACTTATTCAAGTGAAGAAAATGAGAGATTTTTTGGGTTTGGAGAACAATTTTCACATATGGATTTTAAGGGTAAAAGGATTCCTATTTTTGTTCAAGAACAAGGGATTGGAAGAGGAGATCAACCCATTTCTCTAGCAATCAATTTGGTTAGTTATAGGTAAATTATTACACTTTCTTTTCGATTTTTTATTTACTTCTCGTAATCTATACTTCATTCGTCCCTTAATGTTTACAGCATACCTTTAAAACTTTTTCGAAATATTTATTTAGTAGTTGTATTGGTGGGTAATTTTGTCACTATATGAGGTAGGAAATAAAGTAGAGAGCGATTGTGAAACCATGTTAACTAATAATAAAACGTCAAAATGAGGCAAATCTAAAAGGACAAAGAGAAGAGGAGGAAGTAACTACCTGCTTTTAGTATATTTCAAGACTTTGAGGCATTTTAACCTTTTATCTTTAAAATACAAGTCATTCTACACTATCAAAGTTATACAACAATGTGCATTAACAATGCTATTCAAACTAAATTTAACCAAATAACAACATTTTTATTTTTTGTGGTTAAACTATATTAATAAATCCATAGTTGTCTCCGCTATTCTCCAAAAAATGCAAATATGCAAGAAAATACCATACTTCATAAACTCATATAGTTCACACTACACAGTATGATCTACAAGTTATAGAAATATCTACATTATTATTTTAACATCATAATTCAATATACTATGTACTATGTATGATTTAACAAATTTATGGTCAAAGATTCTTATGTGGCCAACTATATTATTTAGGGACGAAGTTAGTATAACAATCACAGAACGGGGTAAAGGTTTCACACTAGAACCCTGCAGAATGCCTGATATTTTCAGAGTTCCTATTAATAATTATTGCAAAACTTTATTTGTATTTTGAGTGATTGTGATTGTGATTGCTAACGTTTTGTTAATATCTTCCGTTTTCATCTCACCTTATCTTAAACAAGGAAAACACGCTCCACCTAAGAACATCAACTCTCATTATTGAGTAGACAACGCTTGTAAATCATATCTAATCTAAGCTACCCCATCCAAATTTCCTTTGTGTAGTCACAATCACCTTGATCTCTAAAAGAAATGAGATGACCGATTTTTTTAATCTATGTTATTTGAACTCTTTGTTTCACTCAAGTACCCATGTCTGAACCTCGACACTTTAACCCATTTATGAAAACTTGACTCTTAATCATATAACTGTTGTATAAATTGACCAAGTTCGACTCTTGAACACACACCTGCATTAGTCCGCTTAACATAGAATCTTGAAATTAATATTTGATCTCTTCTATCAGGGCAGCTGGTGATTGGAGTACAACCTATGCTCCCTCTCCTTTCTATATGACATCAAAGATGAGGTCTCTTTACTTAGAAGGATACGATTACACCATTTTCGATTAACTATGCAAGATAGAGTTCAGATTCAGGTAAAGCATGCTAAATGATTTACTCGGTATAATCTATACAGAATATGAACCAATCGAAATGATTAGCATTTCATGATTTAGTCGGAGGAAAAGTACACAAAAGTTAGGATAGTCATACCCTTCTGACTTGTTAACAGTCTTAACACTGGCTGTATAGGTACATGGAAACTCGGTTGCAGGAGCAATATTGCATGGAAACTCGCCTACTGAAATAATTGAAACTTTCACAGAATCTATAGGAAGGCCTCCTGAACTTCCTCATTGGATTATATCAGGGGCTGTTGTTGGAATGCAAGGAGGCACCGAGACTGTACGCAATTCTTGGGACATTCTTAGGACTTATGATGTTCCCATTTCTTCATTCTGGCTGCAGGTAATTTCAAATGCATATATATATATATATATATATATATATATATATATATATATATATATATATATATGTAAGAGAAAAAACCAAAGTTGATGAAAGTATAAGCCAAATTTTATTTGGGGGTGTATATCATCCCGGATACACTCCATTTTATAGTCCTTGCCCTGCTAGGCCTGGCCTGTGTTTACCGGGGATTGAAAGGGCTGAGTTTTGGCAGCTACCTCAGCTTGGCCCATGATCAGTCCTACAAAAATAAATGAACATGAGAAATTGTGCTAGTACTAAGGATGACAAACTTTGTTTGAAATCTTAGAAACTTGTGCCATAACTAATGGAAAATTGATCAACATTGTGAATGTTGCTAATGTACCTTGATGCACAATAATAATGACAAGAAATTAAATTCTGCAACCACAGGATTGGGTTGGACAAAGAGAAACACTAGTAGGATCACAACTATGGTGGAATTGGGAAGTAGATACAACGCGGTATAAAGGATGGCAGCAACTTGTTAAAGATCTAAACAATCAGCACATCAAAGTCATGAGTTATTGCAATCCTTGTTTAGCACCAGTAAGTAGTTTGCTCATCAGTTTTTTTTTTATACATGTGCTTTTTTCTGTAGGACAGGTTCCCAGTTGATGTGCATCAAACAACCGCGCATAGGATTATTGATTGATTACATGATGTTCTGTCACTCTAGTTCTGGCCCATGATTACTCTAGTTCTGTCACTTGCATATTTAATATGATTATTGATTGATTACATGATGTTCTTGCCAGACTGATGAGAAGCCAAACAGGAGAAGAAACATGTTCGAAGAAGCAAAGAAGTTGGACATACTAGTGAAAGACAAGGATGGAGAGCCATACATGGTTCCTAACACGGCCTTTGATGTGGGGATGCTGGATTTAACACACCCAGAAACCGCACCATGGTTCAAAAACATCCTACAAGAAATGGTAGATGACGGAGTCAGGGGTTGGATGGCTGATTTTGGTGAAGGCCTCCCTGTTGATGCAACCCTCTATTCAGGTACTTTACCATACTTCAAGTAATAAAGGGAAGTAAGAAACTCTTCTGCATCATCTGAAGTCTAAAATTACTGCTTTAAAACACACTAACCTCGGATAAATCTGAATGCATTCACTGCTCAGGTGAAGATCCTATAGCTGCTCACAACAGATACCCAGAGTTATGGGCTCAGATAAACAGGGAGTTTGTCGACGAGTGCAAATCGAGTTGTTCAGGCAAGCATAAGGAAGACCCTGAAGAGGCACTAGTGTTCTTCATGAGGGCTGGTTTCAGGGATAGTCCGAAATGGGCAATGCTGTTCTGGGAGGGAGATCAAATGGTCAGTTGGCAAGCAAATGATGGGATTAAAAGTGCTGTTGTCGGTCTGCTTAGCAGCGGAATTTCTGGTTATGCTCTTAATCACAGTGACATTGGAGGGTATTGTGCAGTAAACTTACCTCTAATCAAGTATCATAGAAGCGAGGAACTGCTTTTCAGATGGATGGAATTCAGTGCTTTCACCACAGTATTCCGGACGCATGAAGTACGTTTAATTGTTCTTCCAATCTTAACCAATTCTTGAAACTAACAAGGCAGAAAGTATCAGTATTAATCACTGTCAAATGCATGATCATATATATAAATGCTATTTTCGACTGACATAATTTTTAACAAATTTACCATCCTGTTACATTCGTCTCATACAGGGAAACAAACCATCCTGCAACTCTCAATTCTACTCCAATCACAAAACATTATCACATTTCGCCCGCCTTGCAAAGGTGTACAAGGCCTGGAAGTTCTATAGAATCCAACTTGTTAAGGTAAATACCTATATTAGGCAAAGAACAACTCTTTTTGATCACCTACATATCATGTCATTCTCTGAACTGTAATTTGTTATAACAGGAAGCTTCAGAGAAGGGACTCCCGGTGTGCCGGCACTTATTTCTTCACTACCCTGAAGACGAATACGTGCAGACACTAACATACCAGCAGTTCCTAGTTGGATCAGAGATTCTGGTGGCACCTATACTAGACAAAGGCAAAAGAGAAGCAAAGGTGTATTTTCCCTTAGAAAATAAAGAAAGTTGTTCTTGGATTCATATTTGGACAGGAAAGGTGTACAACTGCTTAGGTACTGAAGCTAAGATAGATGCTCCTTTAGGTTATCCAGCAGTATTTGTTAAGTCTGGATCTTTTATTGCTGAAACTTTCCTTCAAAATTTGAGGGATTTAGATATTCTATGATACTATACTTATATGTAATTTTTTTTTATAAACTGTAACAAGTGTATAAAAAAATTATGGAGCAACAAACAGAAATCAGCATATTCAAGTATACGAGTATACAACTACTTGACCAATGTTTAATGTGAATCCATGTCTGACACAGGTTCGTGTCTAAGCATATGATGACCCGGCTATTTTTTTGAAAAAAATTTATAATTTTGAACTAAAATTGACCAAGTGTGAACCCATGTCCGAATGCTGAGGGTTCAACTAGGGTAATTGAGACGAGATGAATAGTCCGTGTAAAAGAGATTGTGAAGGAGCAAACTTACACGGGCTCACACGCGCCCATACAACACACACACTTAACAGAATTTAAGGTTTTTGACAGTTTTGAGCTACAAAGGCTACCATATAAATATGATCATCCAATAGAAGTAAAATGAAAAAGTTGATGACAGAAAAGCTATAATATGGAGCAATAAAACAAGTAAATATATAAATAAATGAAGTAGAAGACTAATAAGTATTATAAATTGATATTGAATTTAGCAGACTGATTACCTGATTAAAAGAGGAAGAAGAGATTAGGGTGATCATTAGCTCAGTTCAGAAATTCTGAAACAAGGATAGTGCAGTTTTATCAAAGGTTGTTGTTTAAAAATGTTTGTTTTGTAGTAAGATTCTGATGCTTTTGGTATATTCGCATTTTTTTCTGTCGTATATTCTCCCTCTTGTGCTTTTTATCTAATAAAATCCATTGTTTTGCTATACAAATCAAAACAAAATCAGGTAAAGGGAAGGAATTGACCAAACCAGAAATTATAGAAAGTAAATTTTTTTTACCAAATTGTGGTCGTTATTTGAATTTTTAATTTTATTTGATAGATGTAATCTATCCAACAAGAAATGATATGTAATCTTCCCTCACTTTTAAACTAAAGCAGCAAATAAGGCTCTATTAAAAAAAAAAAAAAAAAACAAAAATCCTTGTAATAAAATAATTATTTACTCGTATTTTGTAAAAAATCAAAGGAAGATTAGCAATTACAGAGGATATTAGGTCTAATCCAAGTGTTGTTGTAAAAGGAAAAATAGCATTACCTAATCAAAATGCTAATACATCAGTTCAACTAATCTAACCAATATTACGCTGATGCTAGTTCAACTTCCCTGTTCCTAGTTTGCCAATAGTTCAGCTAAAATAGCCAACACTACATTGATGCAAAAACAATCCTTAAGTAATAAGTACTGAATTTAAAGAGAAGCAAACACTTAACATAATTTCTGTCGTATATTCCTAGTTTGCCAATAGTTCAGCTCCGGACTTTGAATTAGTTACCTTCAGAAACAAGGTTCAATTTGTAAGATTTAATAAAATTAGTGCTTAGTGGCCTATTCATGGTACTATCAACGTTAATTTTAAATTAGAGATTATAATATACTGAGGCAAACTGAGCCTAGCAAACACAAAGGAGCAGATTGTCGACACACATAGGAGCAACAACAAATCCCCTGCCTCAGCCCCTGTCACGTCCACCCCTACATTTTTCTGTCTCACCCCAACTAGGAAATCCGGGAAGCCGAAAACAAGCAGCCCTATCATGACCCTCGCTATTGCAGTGAGTATAAAAACGGCGTTCACCTCTAGCCATCACACTCACAATGTAACGTATACAGCAATTTCTCAAATCAAATTATAAAAATGAACTCTCAAATCACAACTCTCAATTAAAAATAAAATGTGTGAACTCTCACAATTGTATATTGTCACTCAAATATACGATCCCACAAATATATGATCACGCAATATTCCTCACAATTGTTTCGAAACACTCTTTTGATAAATTAAAAAAAAAATAAATAAATAAAAAAAAGCCTGTAACACAATTCCATAACTATTATATGTAGGCAAACAAACACACGTAAATAATATACTTCCTCTGTTAAATATTAATTGCAATAAAGGGGTATTATTTGTGAGATACTTTGTTACAATTAATATTTAACGGAGGAAGTACAAACATACCCCCTCTCTCTCTCTATATATACATATATATTTTGTTTTGAAAATGTCAGATTATGTCTAAGGACCAATTTAAGAGTCACAGTTGCAGTGATCGAAATAAAAACCATGCTTTAAAATAATATTTCAGAGACCATTAAACAGATGATAATTATGATTGAGTTGTGCAAATTAAGCGAGGCAGAAAATTGATGGAAATTGCAAATCATGCAGAAAATAGACAAGAACGAACCTCAGCATCATGTTGCATTTGATTTATCGCTTGTAACTTTGTCTCTCTTAAGTGTTCCAGACATTGATCTGGTTACTGCCATGTTCGTTGAAATCTTGCAAAACTACCCTGGGGTGGTTTGATTCGCTAGAAAATGATGAACTTTTTAAATAAATTAAATTTACCAAATACCAACAACATTTGTTTGGGGAAAATATATAATGTATCCTTTATTTATTTTATCTTTTATGCTTTCCTTAGTTAAATGAGGATTGTAATTAGAAAAGTAGATTTTAGGAATATAATCAATGTAGGATTATTTAGGCTCGGAGAGCAAGTAAAATATTCTATTTCGTGTGGGTTTCTATGTTTAATTAGGTTTTCCCTTTTATTATCGTATTTTGTTATTTATTTTATTTCGGCTTGATTACTATTCATCGATAGGTAGAGTATTTATACAAAACCTTGGCATATCATATAAGATAGGAAACAATCTTCCTAAAAGATATATTGTATTACCATAACTATATATCCTAAAAATATATTCACTAAATAATAACCTGACTTAAATATCTTAAATATATTATTCTCCTTATTATATCTATAGAAAATATATCACACATATATTTTCCGATATCTCATATCTCCATTCTTAACAAATCTCATGCTTATGGTACATTCGCATTTTCTTAACATCAATCATATGTTCGCGTCCATAAGCCAAATTACCCAATACTCAACTCATTAGTCCATTTGTTCCCAAATCCCGTGACTATTTTTTTCATACTTGATAAAACTTTAAAAATTAGCCTATCAACAAAATTATAGTCATGTGAAATTTTGTCGAATTATTATCAATGTAATTTACTACCTCCGGTCATCATTTATTGCAACATTTGCCATTTTAGGCCGGTCCAAATTAATTGCAACAAGTGAAAAACTTTCCATTTTTAGTAAGGTTTAGCACTATAATTAAAGGTTAATGAATATGATTATAGTCCTTAAACTTAAATTCTAAAATAATTAAATTTTCCAATTTTTTTTTTTTTTTTGCTTTACTGAAATTATCTTTACCAAAAAAAAAAATAAAAAAAAAATAAAAAAAAAAGTTGAAAAATAAAAAACTCCAAGTCAGAGTTCAACCACGGCATTCAATACCAAGCTCATAAACCCTAGATCTAAATCAACTTTCTGGGTTAAGCCATTCCTCTTCTTATCATCTTCCCACCATAGCTCTGCTTCGCCTCTATCCAACAAAATTGAAACCCTTAAATCTGCTTTGAAAGTTTGAAACCCTAAGTCTCAACACTTCCATTTCTTGATGGACTTTACTCCTTTAGTGAATGCTCTGTTTATGAGTGAGGATGAAATCGAGCAGGGCTTTATACAAGCTCTAATCGATAGTTTCGAATCGGAATCGAACTGGCCTGAGCAAGTGTACACCTCTGGGAGAGGCAGAGACTTGATGTCGGAGTATTCGTGGAAGGCGCTGGGTGATACGCTTGCTGGTGCGCTAGATCTAGCGTCTTCAGTTGAAGAACCACCACAAACGGTTGTGGTTACTGAGTCCCGCCGTAAAAGAAAAAATCCTAGCAACATGAAACCTTTGAAGAGGGTTACTTGTGCTGAAATAAAAATTCCTTATAAAAATAAATTCCGGGAAAAAAAAAGAATTTTACAAATACCACATTTTCTACAAATTTAGAAAAAAATTGTTACCGAACAAAAAAATTTATTCGATTTTTCTTTTTTCTGTAAATTTATATTGTCAGAGATAGGTTTTTTTTACAGAAATTAAAATTTTTTTGCTAAAAAATAAATTTTCTGAGAAAAAATATTTCCTAAAAAAAAAATATTTTCTGAAAAGAAAATATTTTATGAAAAAAATAATTTTCTTTAAAAAAAATATTTTTCTGAAAAATAAAAAAATCCAGAAAAAAAATTTCATGAAATTAAATAAAAACAACTTCCTAAATAAATGCCTACTACATTAATCATAAAAACAACTTAACAATATTATACCCCATTTTCTCTCTCCTCATAAGTACACCACACAACATAATTAACACACTAACAAAAATTGCCTCGATTTTCGAAATAGGCCTCTTTGTTGCAATAAATGATGACCGGAGGTAGTATAAATTATTAATTTTATAAAAGTACAGATATAGAAATATTAATGATTTAAATGTATTTAGAAAGCTATGAAAAGTCTTTCAATCCGTCTAAATATTTAACGCCACTGTAAAAAGGGGCTATTTTTTATATTATTTTTATTTTTTTTTTAAGGAAAAGCAGAGCATATATCAATTAATAAATATCCATTTCCGGCAAAGTAATGATACTTTGTGAAAAGGGAGAAAATCTCTGTTACTCACTGTGAGAAACGTTTTTGTTTCTCACAGTGGCAGTTTCGTAAATAAAATATACCACGGTGACTAAAGTGATACAATTTTATCATCCATTTTGTAAATAAAATGTACCATCGTGACTAAAGTGGTACATTTTATTTACGAAACTGCCACTGTGAGAAACAAAAACGAGTCTCACAGTGAGTAATGGGGGCGTCCTCGTGAAAAGGAGTTAACCGTACATATTCCAAGTTCATACATGTATCCCACCTTGCAACAAGATGAACAACGGTAGTACATGCTCTCTTAACATGGGAAAATAAAAGCAAACATTAAACCATTCTCTATCACACCAAATATTATCATAGGTAGCAAAGATCAGGGAGAAGCCAATCACGTTCGCAGTCACATTCTTGATTACATACGCTGCATCTGATTCGATCCAAACATTCATGTTCCCCATTCTACGAGCCAATTGCATAGCTAGCATACCTGACAGCTTGGGCCTCTATGCACTCTGGGTGTGACAGTGGTGCCTTCTTTGTTGTTACCATCAGAATCTTCCCGCTTGTATCTCTAAAGACCACACCAAACCCTGCATTGCCTACCTCTGGCACATGAGCATCCACATTGATCTTCACACACTCATTGGGGGGGACAGATCCATGAATTGCAGCTGCTATAGCTTTGTGTTGCTGTTGCACCTTTGAAGACCCGAGCAGAGTACGATTGTAGTCTTGGGATCAGCTTGCTATACCCAGCAGCAAGCATCACAAAGTTGGGTCTGCTATTCTCGAAATGATCAGATTTCTGCAGCGCCAAGCAGCCCAAAATAGAGCAGCCATAGCACTAAGATCCCCAGGGTTGCACTTCCTATTCAGCCAACCCCAAAGATCAGCAAACGACTCAGTTGGAGCACCCACAAAATTCTCTCTAAGCGCGGTATGATCCCAGACGGCAGTGGCAGCTTCACAGGCATTTAACGAATGTATAATTGACTCCCTAGCAGCCCCAAATCGAGCATGAGGCATTATGGACAATGTGACGTTGGACAAGCCCCTCTTTATCAACAAGGTTACCCTTGACTGCACTCCACAGAAAATGATGGAGCTTCGGTGGTCCTTTTACCTTCCAAACCTGACCCCAAATATCATCATAATTATAATAATTCAAAACAGATCACTAAATCAATAAAAAGAAGAAAGAAACTAATATTTGTTGAGCCCATGAGAAGACCCACATGTGAGTGAAAGTGTTGTCCCACATTGAAAGAGTATAAAAGTGAAGAGAAATATTGGGATGTGTATCCCACATTGAAAAAAAGAGAAAGTCGTGTCCACTTTATAAGGCTAAGGGGCTATTCCCTCATTGCCATATGGTTTTTAGGTGGAACTTCCTTGGTAGTATAAAGTGGACAATTGAATATTGGGATGTGTATCCTATGCAATACTTTCTTATATATCTAACTGCTCAAGCTCGATAATGTTAGCTGCATTTCGTATAAGCTCCTTGCGTCCATCAACCTGGAAAATTACAGCATAAGCATCATGCCAACTCATTTAATTATTAAATCCCATAAC